AAATCACCGACACACATTTATTTGTTTATTTTTTTTTGTTTTTTTTTGGTTTTTTTTTTTTTTTTTTTTTTTTCTTGTTTCTTTTTCTCTTCGGCTTTTTTTTTTTTTTTTTTTTTTTTGGTTTTGGTTTTACGCCACTGCCGAAACTAAGAACTCGAGAAGATGAGAGAACATGATTTTTTTGTTTTTCTTTTTTTTTCTTCGCTACGATTCATTCTCTTTCGACACGTGTCTATTCTATTCGGGATATCCGTCACTACATTCCGCTTCCGCTCTCTTTCTCTCTCTTTCTCTCACTCACTCACACTCTTTCTTTCTCTCTTTCTCTCTCTCTCTCTCTCTTTCCCTTCGCGCTATACATTTCTCCTTCTTTCTCTAACATATAAATTTAAATTATATACAAATCAATCGTTTTTCGCTTATAATCCGGTATTCTGAATCAACAATCTGATTACACATTTACTACATAACAAGTTTCTTTCTTTCTTTTTTTTTTTTTTTTTTACTCATTACGAACTAAAGGGGTGCGCCGCATTAATTAGTTAAACGCGGCAATTTTCTAGAAACTTTCTGCAACAACACTTTTCCCAGTAATGTGTTTTACGCAGTAATATCACATCGTCATCAATTATTCTAATTTTCCTTCCAATTTCAAATCATTTCAAAAACTCATGCGTTTTGTTTATTATCATTAATTAAACACTAGCGTGTTTTTCTTTTTTTTTTTTTTTAATTTATTTATTTATTGGCGCAATAATCACATAATCCACTTTTTTTGCACTCTTTTCCCGCTCACTTCTCTCCTTCACTATCTACCTTTCTCTATTTTTTTTTTTTTTTTTTTTCACTCATACGCACGAACACACATACGCACACGCACACGCAGTTTACCTCAATCTCTCGACTTTCGTCGCGCATCCTCATCCTAGAGATCTATATTGAATTGCTTCTAACCATCACGCGGAAGTTTTTGATAGATTTGATCGACTTCGGAACCACCGGTTATGGACCGTTTATAATAATAATCGCGTCAAGTGTATATAATACGTGACTGTTTAAATGGCGGATCTCACACGCGCGGACCTCGGACGATTTCCCCTCGCGAAGAAGCGACTCGCTCGTTGGTCGGCGGCCGGAAAATTCGCGTAACGAATTTGCTTCGCGTACGTGGAGGACCGTTATAAGGCACTTTCACCTGCACTACGAAATTGTTATTATCGTTTACGACGAACATTAATATGCGTGTACGCTACAAGAACGCCTGGCGCGCTAACAGTACCAGTGTTTTTTTTTTCTTCTTTTTTTATTATTCTTCCGAAACTCACTAACATATCACTACTCGCTAAACGCAAAGTGCGCGCGCGACTCGATGCGCAAAGCTTTCGAGACGAGAATCCGCTAAAAGGCATTTAAGTGCAAGGGCACTTGCTCGTGACAATTTATCGCGAAATTGCGCGTGTTTCACTATTATTATGATTATTTTATTATTTATCGTCTTTCCTCGCAAACACTTGTAAAACATTTTCCCTACGTCGTTTGAGCGCGATCGGATTCGCGAAGGGGGCTTCGTCCGAGAGAGAAAACAAAAAGGAGAAAAAGAAAAAAAAATAACAAAGAAAAACGTTTCTCTTCGGTCCGGGATCGGAAATTTCCGGAGTCGACGCTTGTGGTTGTGGTGACGCCCGATCGATATAATATTCGCGCGCGATGC